CCACCAAAACCTAATATGAGGAGAATGAGAATTTTTTATTTATGTCACCTGTCACCACTAATAATGTCCCTGAGCCCTGTCTAGCTCACTTATACATAATTTCGTGTGAATGGTTTTCCCAGCTCCCTCTTCCCTCATTTCCATTCCCCGGCTAGCTGGAGAGCGAACACCGTGATGCACAAAAACCCACACTCACCTCCGCTTGCTGGGGACGACGCCCATCTCCTCGCTGTCTCCCTCCAGCGTGACTCTCCTCGCCTGCCACCACTCATCGTCAGAAGCGTTGATTACGTGCAGAATATCTCCATACTTAAAACTAAGTCCTTGGCTTGGCAGCCCACTGTCCTTGCTCTTGTCGTAGTCAAACATGGCTCTGAAAGAAATGTCAGAGGGGTCATGGTTAGAAATCTCCGACAGCACAGAAGTAACGTTTACAGTTTTGAATTTTTACTCTTGCTCTGAGAATCTGTCGTCTTGTGGCGATCAGGTCTAGCGGGTGCTCTGGATTGCAAATCCCATTCCCACTGCTTTGTTCCTGGACTGAGGTTAAACTGTATTTTCTTGCTGCTTGCAGGGGTGGCTCTGTGTGTTGTCTCAGAGGATATCAGATGTTAGAAGGTGGTAACAGGAGAAACGAAAGCCAGTTTACCACCTAACTGAGACATTTTTCCTCTCGTTACAAATTTTTAAAATTACCAAAAGAATAAATAAAATGAAGAGAAGCAAAGGTTCTAAATAAAGCATTTTGTGTTATGAAAACATTCCTCCTCATGGATCAGCCCATAGAACTCTTTCCTTTAGAATGGAGAAAAATGGTAACAACTTAAAGAACCGACCAATAGAGGACTCTGATTCTTTCAGACAGCACAATGCTGGGACATCACTGGAGCTGGATGGTTGAAGGGGTTACTGTAATAACCTGAACAAATGCTCAAAATGCAACACATGGAAAAAAAGTACATTTGTAGAGCAACAGATGAAAAGCCTATGCACAGCACCATAAATCTTCTTCTTTCCATGTCATTCTTGCTGTCTGCGTCATGTTTTCCCCACTAAAGAGTCTCTGAAGAGCCTCTGTAAGCTCACTGTGTGGCAGTTTGTATCATGGTCTGCAGGAGTTGGAAGCAGAAAAAAGGGTACACAAGACCTTACTAAGTAGCTGCTATCTCGAGGAGGTGACCTTTATTGGAGGTCCTCTCTGGCCTTCCCCTGCTGTATGTTCCACTCTCAAAAACCACCATTGCACACAAGTATACTATTTCCCAGGAGATGCAGATTTTACCTTCTCCCCGTTCTTGATTCGGTCCTATGAATTTCCTTGGAGTATAACCATTCATGCATGTGAAATAAGCTATATTTGGAGAACAGATTTCCTTAAATCACTGAGGACCAAGTTTGGTTTTTTCTCTTATCATTTTTGCACCCATCAAAGAAATGTCACATCTGCAGTCTTGGTAACCACAAAGGCTGAAGACAGCATCTAACCCTCAAATCCTGTAGAAGCTGAAGTACAGGACGATACTTCCTCCACCCCTAAATGCGGAGTTTCTTGGTCTGAGCTTCCAGAATAAATGATTTCCACCTTGGCCATCTGTATCTTTTTGCTCCAGGGCTCACACAATATCCAAGCCAAGAAAGGGAGTTGGCACAGACAGAAACTCCCACAAGTCCCTTCTCTGACTCTGTCGCATGATGCAATTTAATTAACATTATGGAACTGCAAGTTTTTGATACAGAATTGATCTAGCAGCTCCATTCAGATGGAGCTGCTGTAAGCAAGGATCAAATAATATGCACGCAGCCTCCTGCCGTGGAGGTGTAGGGTGGCCACAGTAGTGCAGGGGTGAGAGACGTGGACTTAGTGGCCATGCTACTGGCCACGTCCTGCTCCTGCAGTGTCGTACACGCAGTTCATTATCTGGGTAAGGTCCTTAACCTCTAGTAGAATTGGTTTTCCTTGTGTATGACAGAGTGGTGATGACAACAGCACTTCCAGTACAGAGCTGCCTGGTAATCACACAGCCCAGTAACTAAGAGACTCACAGCAGAGCCTGGCATGCAGCGCCAACAGTAGGCAGGAACTGTCTTTCCTATTTGAGTGAGAATAGTCTGTATTAGAGATCTCACTTTGTGAAGAAAAAACAAAGAACATAGCATGCTTCTAACTGTTATCCTTCCCCCCCCCCCCAGGCCTATTTGTAAAAGTGGCCTTTGGTTGATGTCGGAGAACTTAGATCTTACCAGCCCTTGAAAGAGCAGTTCACATGCCTCAATGTTCAAACTGGGTCGGTTTCCCTACTTCCCGATTGGGAACCTACAATTGTGCATTCCAGGCAGAGGGGGCCTATCTGCCCAGCCCAGTGCCCCGCCCTCGTGCTGGATCGCTGATGAACTTCCCTGGTAGGAATTTAACTCCTGCTATGGTGACTTGCTCCTAGCGGCGTTAGGCACACCTGTGTTCTTCCATTAAGAGAGGACTCTTGAAATTCACAGCTTGTTTCCCTCAGACTGTGTCCCGTAATCCCCTCCCCCTTTGCTGATTTTACTTGGTCTTCTTTTCTGTAATAATCATACTTCTGAGGCTGAGTATGTTGAGTTCTGTGGAGCCTTGCAGAGACTCATCAGCCCTGTGCATTGGGCCACCCAACCTCATTCTTGTGACTCATCTCAGGCCTGTGAAGAAGATAAGCCACATCTGTCCATCTCCACTTTATAGAGCTAGGAGCCTCACTGTCTAGCCCCAAGCCATGCGGCTTAAAGGCAGCAACTGCAGGCCAGCTGCATTTGGGCCTCCTCCTAGCTCAGTGCCTTTGACGTCAGTCCCTATTCAGGTGGCGGTGGTCACAAGGGGTGAGACTGCAGACTGTGGTGGCTTCCACTACTGATGGAACCGGGCAGCATGGCCCTCTGTAATCCTTGCCTTTTTGCAGCGCTGATGAATTTGTGAAATTCCTGTATTGTCTTGATATCTTTTTTAAAAATTTATTTTAAAGGGAACAGAAAAATATTAGATAAGACATTAGAAACAATATACTTCTTTTTAAAAAACATAAGATGATAGGTATTTAATAGGGGTTGTCATATGGCACATTTAATGTAGTTGCTCAGATTTCAGATATAAACATATAAAATTGGTGAAAGTAAAAATTTTAAGCATTAACTGCTACCTTCAAAAAACTCCTAAATGTATTTGAACTTTGCTTGCTTTGCTCCATGCACCTGGATGGAAATTGCGAGGCGTGGAGACAGCGAAGGCACTGGGCGGGGTGGGCTGCGGTGGCCAAGAAGGCAGGCTCTCGGGCGCTTGCCCTGGGTTTGCAACCTCTTAGCTGTGTGACTTAGGAAGTGACTCAACCTCGCTGGGCCTCAGGTCTTCTTAACTGTAAAACGGGCATAACGACATCAACTACTCAAAGAGTTGCTGTGAGTACTAAATGAAAAGATAGGTACAAAGTACCGCAACCCTTGCTCGGCGCTAGCGAGCACACCGTAAATGATAAGTACCACGACTACTGCAATTTGTATTCTGAAGACGACTGGGCTTTGACCCGTGAGCTCAGGCCCCAACTGTGTCACACAACAGCCGACTTCTGGTCTCTGTGCAAAGACATTTAAAGCACATCTCTGTCCTCAGGACCCAGGATAACGAAAGGACCAAGGCATATCCTCAGTACAGACTGGTGGGGTATTTTCAGTGGTTATGGAAAGCTTTTGTCTCGCCCTCAGCCTTCTGAGTGACAAGGGGCAGGAGAGGAGTGGAGGCTGCTCCTGGTGGTCCCCACGCAGTCAGCCACTCACTGTACTGTGCCCGCCTCTGTGCCCTGGAGTCCATGAGTGGGCGCTTCCCACTGCCGTCTTTGGCAGTAGACCTGTGCGCTGAGGGCTCAGGGACACCTGCTTGCTATGGGCTGTACTTATCCTGGACAATCTGCCCCTTCAGGATTACACTGATTCAGACCTGTGAGGTTCCTAGAGCCGAGCAGCTGACACATTTTTCGGCCTCTGGCTTCTTTGGCTATTACTGGAGCTTCATGTCTCAGAAAAATGCTACAGTGCCCCATCTCCTAAGTTAAAAAGTGATAAGTTCTTTTTAATTTCCTTTATGTGGTAGTTCATTCCAGCGACTTTTATAAAATGCCATTAAGATTCACACTTTCCATGCAGGGGGCTTTTAACAAGTCCATTAGACAAGCGCAATTTGATGCAAATAATGCAAGATTTCCCCATCCCTGCTGCCCTTCTTGAATTTCAATGTGCAGTGAGTGGTCCTTTGTCAACTGGGAAGTCTAGAAAGGGAACAGTGCCCTGTGGATGGTGCCTGTTAGATGTCACACCGTGCACGAGGCATTTTATATTTTCTGTCTCACTCAAGTGGGTTACCCGCCAGGGTGATCGGACTAAAGAGACCTCGTGATTTAAGTCCTAATTTCACCTTCCCTACCTGGGAATTTGAGACATACCACTTAACCTCTGAAGTGACCACTTAACCCCAGGTGACTACTCCCTCAACTAGGAGATGCAGGTCACAATGGCGTAGGCGTAAGTCGGCTGTTGTGGGTGCACAACACCAGCAGTGGAAAGCCGGACACAGCAGGAACTCTACTTTATTATTCTGACAACGATCCTGCTGTATAACCACTTTTTCTTGTCTCATAAGAGAAACGCGACTCAAAGCCCTGAAATGAACAGAGCTAGTAAGTGGCAGAACGAGAATTCTAACATAGATGCATCTCATCCAGATGCCCATATCCTGGACCTTAGAATTCCTGATAAGGAATGTTGAGCTTAGATCTCATCTGCAGGGATTTCATGACTCCACATGATTATCAAAGAATGAATCATGCTTCCAGCCCAACCTCCAAAGAGACCGACATCTGAATCTCTAGAACTTTCTAATACATTGTTTTCCAGTACAGCAAGAGACTTGCTGATCTGGTGACTGTTAAAGTTCCTGAACTGAGATTCCTCTGGATTATCTTGGTGGGTCTGACCTAATCATGAGTCCTTAAAGAATTCTTTCTTGAGATGGAAGAGGAAAACAGAAGGACGGCTTGGAGAGCTCTGCCTTGAGGAGGCCTCGGCCTGTCACTGATGGCTTTGAAATGGAGGAACAGGGCCACAGTCAAAGAAAGTGGAGATCTCTCAAGACCGGGGATGCTTACCAAGTTCTAGCCAGCAAGAACCTAAGAGACGACAGAGCCTGCAGCCACAAGGATCTGAGTTCTGCCGACAATCTGAGGAGGCAGAAACTGGATACTCCCAAAAGGATCCCAGAAACAGTACACCTGGTTGACAGCCTGATTTTACTTTGGTGAGACCTACACAGCTATAAGACAATAAATTGTGCTGCTTTAAATCTTTAGGGTTGTGGTC